TGTGTGTGTGTGAGTGAGTGTGTATGCCTGAGTGTGTGTGTGTGTGTGTGAGAGAGAGAGTGTGTGAGTGAGAGTGTGTGTCAGTGTGTCTGTGTGTGTGTGTGAGTGAGAGTGTCTGTGTGAGTGAGAGTGTCAGTGAGAGTGTCTGTGTGTGAGTGTGAGTGTGAGTGTGTGTGAGTCTGTGTGTGAGTGAGAGTGTGTGTGTGTCTGTGTGTGTGAGTGAGAGTGTGTGTCAGTGTGTCTGTGTGTGTGTGTGAGTGAGAGTGTCTGTGTGAGTGAGAGTGTCAGTGAGAGTGTCTGTGTGTGAGTGTGAGTGTGAGTGTGTGTGAGTCTGTGTGTGAGTGAGAGTGTGTGTGTGTGTGTGAGTCTGTGTGTGAGTGAGAGTGTGTGTGTGTGTGTGAGTCTGTGTGTGAGTGAGAGTGTGTGTGTGTGTGAGTCTGTGTGTGTGTGAGAGTGTGTGTGTCTCTGTGTGTGTGAGTGAGAGTGTGTGTGTGTGAGTCTGTGTGTGAGTGAGAGTGTGTGTGTCTCTGTGTGTGTGAGTGAGAGTGTGTGTGTGTGAGTCTGTGTGTGAGTGAGATTGTGTGTGTCTCTGTGTGTGTGTGTGTGTGTGTGTGTGTGTGTGTAAACGGGAGGATGTTATGAAACTCGTTTCATAGATTAGTCACAGTGCAGGAGTGAAAGTAAAAATGGTTAAATATGAAAAATTAGAAGTTTAACAGAAATGTGACCGTACACATTCATATGCCACGGTTTTTATATTGATTTATTTCTGTCCACTGACTTAAATATTTTAAGTACCCAAATACCATGGTGCATTAATATGGTAAACCATCTGAGAGCATGAGTTAGATTTTTTGAGAATGCATGTGATTGCACTGATGTGTTTCTCAGGGCCTGAAACTCATTTCTGAAAATTCTTCATCTTATTATTTTTATAATGATTATCTGATCTAAGTGTTTGCACATTTCAGCTCGACATATTTGTTTTTTAACAGTACATATTATTTAAAGCAGTTTTACAGAGTAAAGTGCCTGACAGATGTCCCAGAATCAAACGTGTGTGTTGCTTCTCTATAGTTCGTGAGTCAGTGCTTTATTACAGTCATCTGTGCTTTCAGAGCCTCAGATCGCTTTGTTTTTAACTCCTGCATCACAAGAGCTTGAACTTCTTGAGTTTTGATCGCTCATTTATCCTCACTACTCTTTGTTTGGCCTGTGGTTTCTCTGTCTTCCATTCAGTGGATGTCGAGATCTTCATCCAGGTCAAGATTACATTCTCCTGAGTTAATCTGATTACAGGACTAGTCTATGATGACCAGTTAAGCCCGCTGCGTTGTTTGTAGTTGGTGAGTGTTTGATTTGTAACAGACTCTTTTGTGTTGTTTTGTGCCGCAGGTCCGTCGCAGAACCCCGTTGGTGTTTTCCCCTGTAACCAGCGCTTCATGGCACCGCCGCAGCCGGGCTTCATCAACACCCTGCCGAGCAAAGGCCCTCCGCCGGCCGGCCCGAGCCTCTACAGCAACAGCAGCCGTCCCCAGCCTTCACCCGTTGGCACGCTCAACCACAGCAGCTACCAGCATCCTCAGCAGCCCATCAGCCACAGCAGCAGCTACCAGCATCCTCAGCAGTCCATCAGCCACAGCAGCAGCTACCAGCATCCTCAGCAGCCCATCAGCCACAGCAGCATCTCCCAGCCTCCTCAGCAGCCCATCAGCCACAGCAGCATCTCCCAGCCTCCTCAGCAGCCCATCAACCACAGCAGCATCTCCCAGCATCCTCAGCAGCCCATCAGCCACAGCAGCATCTCCCAGCATCCTCAGCAGTCCGTCTGGAGCCCCGCAGGGAGCCACGCCAGCCCCGTCCCGCCAGTGATGCACCGCAGCGGCACCAGCGCTCCTCCTGTCCTCCTCAACACTGTGCAGCCACCCGCACCCTCTGTGAACACTGCTGCCTTGACCGGTACATCCCATAATATTACACAATACACTGCTGCTGTGACCGGTACATCTGTTTTAGACTTTTACATTCTAATAATATTTCACTGTTTCTACTGTAGGATCAGGTTTTGATCAAATAAATGCAGCCTTGATGAGCAGAAGAGACTTATTTCAGAAACATAAAAAAACTATTATTCCAAATTCAGCCTTCTCTAGTCTGGATATCTCAGCAGCAGCTGTTATAGATGTTGAATGTTTATCCACATCGCAGTATCATTCAGCTACACTTGCAAAAACAAATGCTTTGGACAGAGACATCTGTAAATGATGGGTTTGAGACATTCAGACGGCGTTTCTCGTGTGTTCATGCTTCTCTGACTGAAGCCCATGCAGTGAGTGGATCAGGATCAGTGTGCCTCTGCATGCGCGCGCACAAAAACAGACGCGCGCACACACACACAGGGACGCGCACAGACAGACACTCTCTCACACACACACACTCTCACACCGAGACACAGACACTCTCTCTCACACACACACACACACACTCTCACAGAGACACACAAACACACACACACTCACACTCTCACACAGACACTCACACAGACACACACGCGCACAGGCACGCGCACACAGACACACACTCACTCTCACACACACAGATAGCAGCTCGTCAGCGTTTATCTGCCTTCACAGCTCCACAAATGCTCTTCAGTAATAGTTTATTTTCATGGGCAAACACATGCATGTTATTCATGAAGTAAATGCAACGTCATTGAATGTTTGGCACAATATTTCAACTGGGTGGCACTGATTCTGCTCTCACTATTTAATGACCTCACATTAATTGAGCTGCGTTGAGTATTTCTGCTTTTAGAAGTTCATTTTCATTGCTATGAGACGGTGAAGCAAAAGCTGGTTCAGCTGAATAAGAATCTATGGAGAGTGAATAGCTTTATTATTGTATTGTGTTCTGTCTCACTGATGTGAAGCGTTCTCCTCTTCTGATGTGTGGCAGCTCCCCCTGCGCTGAGTGTCATGGCTCTCCATCAGACGCCTGCAGCTGTGACGGGGCCGCTGCTCGCCGCACACAGCGACGGTAAGAGAGCGCCCGCTTCCACAGACCTGTGCACTCACTCCGGATCAGAGGGGATAGTTCACCCAAAAATTAAAGCTCTGTCGTCATCATCAAGCTTAAATTAAATCTTAAAAGGTTCTTCATGCACAGTGCAAAAACCGAATGATTTGATAACTGCTGCTGATCCTGCGCTGCTGTGCTCTCAGACTGTGATGATGTTGTGAGCGCAGCGCTGATAACTGATGGAGCTTGTGTTTCTGCAGCAGCAGCAGTGTATCCCGCTCACCCTGCACAGATGCACGGGTACCCCTCACTGCAGCCGGTCTATCGGAGTGTGTCCGGCGCGCAGACGGCCCCTCCTGCGCAGACGCAGCTGTACACACAGGTTCCGTCTATGAAATCAGTTTTATTTTTTCCAAAATTCAATTTTTTTCTGTTTTAATTTTTCTGGACTCCTTTTTAATGGTTGAATCTAATTTTATTTCATGCATAAAAACAACTTTTTTTATTTTTTTCAGAAATTCTGTGTTGTGTATTTTAATTTTTCTGGTTATCAAATGAAGGCATAAAACAATTTATTTTATCTTTTAATCAAATGAAAACAAACTTTATTTTGGCAAACAAGGGGGTTTGCTATTCAAATTAAAATATGGGAGAAATATTGTGTTATTATTCCTTAAAAGGAATAAGTTTTAATAATTTATTGTTAGTAGTATTAAGTACATTCTACTTCACAAATCGCAAAGCCTGTGATTTAATCAAACGGATTCTTTTTTTTTAATAGATTTATTTTCCAGAAACATCAGAATAAAAACTTAATTTTCTAGTGCAATATAAAAAAAAAAAAATATATATATATATATATGAAATGTATTTTTTACAGGTGTAATGTCATTAGTACAATAGATTTCCTATTTTGTTTAATATTTATAATAATTACAATAAAAGTCATTATTATTTCTTTATTTCTGTTTTATTTGCTAAAGCTCCCCCAACAAAATCACCCCAATTATTCTAGAATTATTATTTCTTTCCAAACAGATATATTCAAGTCATTTGGTAAAAAGTCTATTTTTTCATATCACAATATATGAAACGTGTATATACAGAAAAAATTGCATTGTCAGGTTTTTCCCAATATCAGCCCTACAGTATGCAGCATTTAAAATCATATAACAAAGTTATGGACAAACTGTAATGTTGTAAAAAGAATACAAGTATGCATATGCTTAGATTCAGGAAATATAATACAGTGAACAAAGAATAAAGCGGCTAATGAGATTTGGTTTGATCGTGAGGCTGACGATGTGCTGAAGGTTTAAACGAGTCCTCTTACTGACCGTTTGCTGAAACACAGGCTGTTTGTCCTCGATTGTCTGAAAGTGTGTGTGTGTTTGAAGCAGAATCAAGCCGCTGTTTGTCCTGTCCTCTCTCATGTCCAGCCGTCTGCTGGCGCAGCTCAGCTGAGCCCCTCGTTAGCATCGTTAAGCCTGCAGTCTCAGCCTCCAGAGGCCCTGAGGGCCGTTAATCTGCTGCAGGAGCGCAGCCTTCTTCCTCCAGGAGCCGTGCCTCCGCCGGTGCCCTGTCTGCCGCAGGACCTGCAGAAGATAAACTGCAGCCCAGAGTCAGTGCCCTCACTCACACATGCTCACGCTGACGGTTCTGTGCGCTTCACTGACTGTGTTCTCGTCCTCAGGGTGTTCCGCTGTACTCTGACCAGCATCCCGCAGACTCAGTCCCTGCTGAACAAAGCCAAGCTTCCCCTCGGCCTCCTGCTGCACCCCTTTAAAGACCTCTCAGTGAGTCACGGATCTGTCTCACACGCTCACACCCACACACACGCTCACACACGCACACGCGCTCACACACACACACGCTCACACACGCGCTCACACACGCGCTCACACACACACGCGCTCACACACGCGCTCACACACGCACACGCGCTCACACACACACACGCTCACACCCACACACACGCTCACACACACACGCACACGCGCTCACACACGCACACGCGCTCACACACACACACGCTCACACGCTCTCTCACACACGCGCTCACACACACACGCGCTCACACACGCACTCACACACACACTCACACATGCTCACACACAGCAAT